TTGTGGTTGTGGTTGTGGTTGTGGTTGTGGTTGTGGTTGTGGTTGTGGTTGCCTGCCTGCCTGCCTGCCTGCCTGCCTGCCTGCCTGCCTGCCTCCCTCCCTCCTTCCTTCCTTCCTTGTTCCCTTCCCCCTTCCCTGCCCTCTCCTCCCATCCCTGCCTGCCTGCCTTGTTGGCCCATGTTGTAACCAAAATACAGCTGTTTTTGTGGCCTAGGAACTGGACTGGCCAAACCTATATTAATAGATACTCAAATAAAGCATGTCAGATAACTATTTGTCAGGTTTATCCCAGGGAACTCCAGGAGACCATGCAGATTCAATCCAGCAAGGTTTATTAGCTACAACCTCTATCAAGAATCTTCCCAGACTGGAACCAGTTCCCAGGGTCTGTCATTAAACATAGCTTGCATTTCTCAGGGAGGTGCCAGCCTCATCCTCTTATCTCTTTCCCATGCTTCGGGAGATGAAAGAGCATTCTTCACTCCCCAATTTTGGCCTCCACTATTCCAGTCCATCACACTATTACATTTAAAGGCAATCTTAACATTCATGTGAAATACAAATACAATTTTTGTGAAGGACAATTTATTTTAATTTTGATGCTAAAGATACTACTCTTACCTCTGCTCTGCTGACATTTTATGGCCCAATTAGCAATACTTCTGAAATATTTCTCTAAGCTATATTCTGCACACTATCAATATGTAATTTGTACTGGAGATTTCAATTTCATTCAAGATTCTCAGTTAGAAGTACTATGAGAAATTGATGTTGTGGAATAACGTAAATTTGAAAATAACAAGGAAGATCTTTCTCTGGTATGCTTGAATTAAATACAAGATTATGTCGTGTTAGTTTATATCTAATGGTTGCTTTAAATACTGAGAGAAACTGTGTTGTATATGACTTCCTGCCTGGGAAACAGGTGTCAAACTTGTGAATGCTGAGTGACACCCATTTATAAAAAAAAATAAAAATGGAATCATAACCTTTTTGTATCCTGCATCTCTGAACTAGGTAAAAATATAAGCAATCCCTTTTCAACTCTAAATACAGTAGTCCTTGACTTACGACCATGATTAGGACCAGAACTTCCATTGCTGAATGTTGCGATCGTTAAGTGAGTTGTGCTCGATTTTACGACCTTTTTTGCTACAGCCGTTAAGTGAATCGCTGCAGCTGTTAAACGAATCATGTGGTCATTGAGTGAATACAATCCATTCCCCCACTGACTTTGCTTGTCAGAAGCTGGCTGGGAAGGTCACAAATGGCGATCATATGACCCCAGGAAGCTGCAACCATCATAAATAATGCTCTTTGCCAAGCACCCAAGTTTTCACCATGTGACTGCAGATACACTGCAACAGTCGTAAGTGCAAGGACCGGTCCAAAGCCAATTTTTCCTGTGCTGTTGTAACTTTGAACAGTTGTTAAATGAGTGGTCATAAGTCGAGGACTACTGTAGTCAGATAAAAATATCTGATGACAAAGTAGATAAAAATAACACATCATGACTTATAACAATCTGTTATAGAAGAGCCCATAAATAAGAATATCAAGTTCTGTGCACAAGGTAATCTCATAAACCTCTAATTTAGAGGTATTATGTTGCAAAGAATTTCCAAGTTGCTAAAAAATAAACAACTTATTCTGCATGTACAGAATAAATATCACAGACAAGAAATAAAATTGGGTCTGATTCATACAGGCTTACTAACTTTTCTATAAATAATTTTGAGTATGAAGAAAGAAGTTAAAAGTACTTTAAAAACAGAATTTTAAATGTATCAATCAAAAATTATTGTCCCCTCCATTTATAATGTTCTAACTTTACTACTCTGGGAGGTACTTCTGCCATTGGAAGATCTACGCTGCTCATCTCAGAGCCTGTGGAGTGGTCCTCAGGACGTGGGACTGGACAATGACCCATTGGCTGCCCTCTTCCAGACTTAGGGACTATCATCTGGCTGCCCACTCGTTTTCCATTTTGTTCCCTTACCAGGTGGAGGGAGGATCTTGGTTCTATGCTGTGTGTTGGGGCTTAGTCCCACAGCAGCTTCCCACCCCCTCCATAGGCTCCCAAATGCCAGGGGCAGGTGTGGCCATAAAGGAGTGGGAGGGGCCTTGCTGTGAGGGCTGTGTGTGGCTGTGTGTGATAATGTGAGTGGCTGTAGCGGAGGTTTGTTTGTGGCAGGTGTGGGGGCAAATGAATGCCCTGGCCTGGGAGGAGGATGCAAAAGATGAGAGGGATCTGGGGGAGAAAAGAGGGTGAGCAGGAACATTGGAAGTGTGATGGGCAGGGGAAGATACGGTGGGATCTGGGAGTGGAGCATCACTCAGGGATGTCAAGCTCGCTGATTGAGAGTGATCCCGTTGTCCAGCCGCAGGGTCTTCCCTCAGGGCCAGGTTAGAGGATCCTGTACTGGGCAGTA